GACCGAACTACAAGGAGTTTTTCCAGGATCACGCTCGCTGTCAGCGCTGGCTCAACGCGAAGCGAATCAAGGCCTTCTACACCCCCGTGTTCTCCGACAACCTCAGACACGGAACGCAGCTCCTACTGCAGGTACGAACGATCTGAATGGGTGTTAAAGTGCTCAAGATTTTTCCGATTTGTTTAAACCGGATCTTGTTTCTCAGGCCGTTGGTTTGGGACGACTGAAGCCGAACACGTTGGTGATGGGTTTCAAGAACAACTGGAGGGAAGGCGACATGAGAGACTTGGAGATCTACATCAACACCATACAGTAAGGGTGGACGCATAGACTACGCGTGAACGTAGACCGTTGTACGGTTACACGTAAACAGCTACTGTCAAAGTTTGTCAAGACTTCAAATGTGTTTTTAAACACTATAAATATTTTATATCATCTTGTCATTTTTTTTACTTTTTTCTGACGACCCATATTTTAAAAGTCACGAACCTTTGCGACCCAAGTCAATAGACATTATTCGTAAACTCCTGGGGAACATGATGCGAGACGACCCAAAACAAACCAAAAAACACTCGCGACCCACGTGAGGGTTGCGACACAGTCTTTGCGAAACAACGGCCCAGATTTTCAAGGTTATACAAACAAAAGAATAAAGAAAATATTCTGTTGTGTTGTCGACTGATTTATCGCAATCAGTCATGAATAAAAGCGGTTACAAATTATCACGATTAATCGCGGGGACAACTAACAGCTAACCTGGGACACTCTGACAACCCTAATAAAATTATGTAATTTGCCTACAGACTATGCTAAATGATAGGATTTTTTTTAGCTTCATTCATTTTAAATACTTTTATGATATCTTTTAGAAAATTTAACGAAAGGGGCGTTAGCTTGTAGGACAGTAACATCAACACTACTATCAATTCACGCAGCTCCGTTAATGAACATTAAACAGATTTTTATACTCGCATCTTTGTCGTGTCAATGTTGGGTTTTGAGAGTTAGCTTCTCTCGTGACTTGTAACATATAAATGATTACAGGTTTGTTTGCTTGTTTTCTGTCGCAGTGACGCCTTCGACCTGCATTTCGGAGTCGTCCTCCTCCGTCTGCCGGAGGGACTGGACATTTCTCACATCCAGGGACAAGGTGCGTTGCACAACTGCACCTGTATGTCCAGCAGGTACCGCAGCATATTCACACACACTCTCTCACGTTTGTACCATCAGATGAGCTGCTGCTGTCCAATGAGAAGCCACCAGCCAGCAACAATAACCAGGTGGTGATATCAGTCAGTGAAGCCAAAGACTCAGACTCGGACTCCTGTCCTTCAAAAACCACCAGCAACCAGAGCAGCCCCCTCATCATTAGAGGTAACTGTCGGGAAAAACTAGCACACCTTCTAAACATATGGGAGTTTTTTTTCACTGTCCAACCAAGTAGCACTACTGGCACTTAATTATATTTCTGACACACAGACACACACAGAGAGCAGGTAACAATACGTTAGTGACTTTCCTAAAACTAATAGGGAGTAGATTTGCCTGGCTAAACTGACAGGGAGCCCAAGTACCATCAGTGGTACACAGCCTGCAGGTTGAGAGCCTCTGACCTAAAGCATGGTCAATACTGCAACATACTCTGGAGTATGTGAAGATATTTAACCTTAAACAGCTTAATGGAGGAGCCTTTGACCAAAGCATTGCAGTGGTGTCCAGTCATTCAGTGCGGCTGCTTTAACAACCTTACCAATAGTTACACTGGTTCAATCCAGTAGTAACACCTTGGACTTTCAGTTGTCGTGACTGCAAGTGCTCCTTTTTGTCCTCGTGTGATCCATTTACTTGGGTCGTTTATGTCGGTCGATTAGTCTACCAGATTTATTTAGGTTCCAAAATAAAATAATCAATTTAAACATTTAAAGAGTGAAGTTTTGACCATTGATGTGAAAAAAAAACACGAGAAAAATGATCAAATACTTCAAAGATGTCGTTATAACTAATTAAAGACTCGTTTGTTTTTGATACGTTTTTTTGTCCGACCCCGTGTTATTCCCAGGTCTGACTCTGCTGATTCCGTACCTGCTGACCAACAGGAGTAAGTGGGGCGACTGCCGGATCCGGGTTTTTGTCGGCGGGAAGATCAACCGCATTGACCACGATCGCAGAGTGTGAGCGAACAGTTAACAGTGAAACTCAATCCGTCACGGAAACATTGAGACTTGAGGGAAAACAAAAATGGAACTAAAGTCTATTATTGTCATTGTTCTGTCGTCCATCAGGATGGCCACGCTGCTCAACAGATTCAGGATCGACTTCTCCGACATCAACGTCCTTGGAGACATCAACACCAAACCAAAGAAAGACAAGTACAAACCAGACAAGTACAAACCAGACCAGTTAGCGCTAGTTAGACACCTTAGGGGTCTGCACAGGTACTGCAGGGACTTTATAAAACTTTTGGTTAATTAGATGTATTTCCATTACCGGGTCGCGGGGGCAGCAGTCTCCACGACCGCCACCCAAATCACACTGCACCATACCAACCCCCCCTAAACCTCCCTGTGGGTGGTGAGTCCACTGGAAGGTACCAACCGCCCTAACCGGGATTCAAACTTGCCCAGGAGGTGAACCCTGGGGTTCCACACCAATGACAGCGACATTGCTTCTGGGCCAAAGCGCCACCTATAGATGTATTCCCCTCCTGTAATTTCCACAAATTCAAACACCCTCAAATACACGTCACTTTAAACTTTTAAATGAAGCTATCGTTGATTTGATCGTATTTCTGTCACGAACGTCTTTGTCTCATTTGTGCAGTAAGCGGATCTTCAAGGGACTGATCGAGCCGTACCGGCTGAAGGAGGACGACATGGAGCAGGAGGCTGCGGAGAGGCTGAAGGCCCAAGAGCCGTGGAGGATCACCGACAACGAACTGGAACTATACAAGGCCAAGGTCGGTGGAGGTTTTTTTTGTAGTGCCGCACTCTGCTTGTACTCAACCATTCTGTTTCCGTTCACGTTTGTGCTGCGTGTGATTTCCAGACCAGCCGTCAGATCAGACTGAACGAGCTGCTGAAGGAACACTGCAGCAACGCCAAGCTCATCGTCATGTAAGAGTCTCACATCCATCCTGTCTGCTTGTGTTTGTCTCCGCTAGGGCCTTTTTCAAAAAGTTTCATCCCACAAACTTTGGACATTAACAGTTAAAGTCTTGAGTTTTGGGAATGATTGGTTTACAGAAGTATGTTTTGTATAATGGCCTCACAGATGTAGATAAAGGTGTGTAAGGGGGACCGAGACTCACCCCGATCATCAATGGTGCCAGCGGTAAATGACGATAACGTCCTTCCTCCCTCTGTTGAAGGACCATGCCGTTGGCGAGGAAGGGAACGGTGTCCAGCGCTCTGTACATGTCCTGGTTGGAAACTCTGTCCAGAGACGTCCCACCCATGTTGCTGGTCCGAGGAAACCACCAGAGCGTCCTGACCTTTTACTCCTAACACACACACTGTCACGTACAAATGTTCACGATCAAACTTTTGTGTCTACGATGGAACCGCTGCTGTCAAAGTGCTTTTAGGCCAGTTTTATTTTAAAGTAAAAAAAATGTAAGTCAAAGTGTCATCAGTCAATGTAGACACTGTTGTTTTGTTTTCTCAGTAACAGGCTGTAATTTGTTTTTGTTTTTTGTTTTTTTAAAGATTGTGAAGAATTAAAAAAAAAGTATATAGTAAATATAATATAGTAAATTAATTTGGAATTATTTGCAAGAAAATATGATGAACAGCATCTAGAGTCAGTTGTGGGTATTTTTTTTCACCTCTGTTTCGGGATTATTGTTATTGGATTGCATTTCTAATACGTCTAATTCGTATGTGCATTTAATCTGTCTCTAATCTGTATTTATTTTATTTTTATCCTATTGTTTGAGGATATTTTTCTTCTCTGGTCATGGTTTGCTAAATATAAGATTTTAGAATAAAATGTGGAATAAAATTGCAATTGTTTATTCATGTTTTTTGGGGGGGGGTTTTGTCAAAATGTTAAAAAAAATTGAGAAGCGCATATATTTCGTGTCATCCCAAAATAGTCACAGGGAGAAAGTCAACATCCTTTATACCTTCATATATAATAGTGATGGGAAGACCGACTC